CCCATAGGTCCAGATTTGCCTGGACGCTGCCTTGATTAATAGTTCTGCTCTATGGTTCTGATCGGTACTAAGTTTTGTTTCTTCAACTACATGAGTTCTCCATTTACTGTTGCTATCTAGTATCAGAGGCTATCTGACGTTTTCTTCTTTTTTCAACAAGTTTTTCATCTGCAAAAGCATTTTCTCACACAGATTAAAAAGTGCAGGAGCTTTTTCAGTCCACGCGCCGTCCAGACGTTGTTGAATGGGCCGATGTTACATCAAGGGATCCGTTCATGCTCGTGGCTCTCAAGTCCTATCGTAACACTGTGCCAGTACCACGTCATTGGAATGCTAAGAGAAAGTAAGAAACATCTCACTCCATTCCTTATCATTTTTATCGTCCATTGTCGTCTAGGTATCTATCAGGAAAGCGTGGATTCGAACGACCACCTTTCGAACTGCCAGATTTCATCAAGCGAACAGGAATTCAAGACATGCGTGAGGCACTCTGGGAAAAGGTTTGGAATCACACAAGTCCTTCATTGTTGTTCGTTTTCATCTTTTGAAGCTTAGGAAGAAAGCCAGAACTTGAAATCGAAAATGCGTGAGAGGGCACGCCCTAAGCTTGGTAAAATCGACATCGACTACCAAAAGCTGCACGACGCCTTCTTTAAATGGCAGACAAAACCTCCCATGACTTCGATGGGAGAACTGTACTATGAGGGAAAGGTAGTGGTTGAGAAGGTGTGATTTTCTATCTAATCTAAATATATATTCGTTGCAGGAAGTAGAAACTCTCATGAAAGACAAGAAACCAGGAAATCTTTCGGATGATTTGAGGATTGCGCTTGGAATGCCTGTTGGACCGGTGAGTTTGTTTTCACTATTTTGCATTCATTCCTCAGGAAGCTTTGCTTCTTTCAAAATCGCTGGGCAGGTCAAATGACCCTTCTCAGGTTTTATTGGAGTTAGGTAGTAGACTCCCAGTACACTGTAGCTCAAACCCCCCGCCAATTCATGCGCTAAGGGCCGCATGCATTAACATCCCTGCCGGGGAAGGGA